TCTTCAAGAGGTCAACTGATCCCCTGCTGGAATCACCCTTTTGACAGTTCCCAATCTTTCCTATACAGCGCTCTGAAGGAAATCTTCCAACTTTGCAGAACTGAAGTATTGATGACAAGTGAAGATTGTTGTTAAATCTCTTTTGGGGGAGTTCAGAAGTTCTATATGATCTGTATCATCTTCATCAATTTTCATTCTTCTAAAAGACGGTTCAGTCCAGTAAAGGTCTTTGTAATTTCCTATGCATCAATTCACATATTGGATGGTCTTCTTATTAATTTCTCTTGAGTCTATACTGCAATAGCTTAGCATCTCAAGATGATGGGGATTGGTTATGAGATTCTGCCTTAGCCAGTTGATTGCGCCTGGTTCGTGGATTCCACATGACAGATCCGTGCATAGAGCATCCTTTACTCTGGTTGATTGTTTATAGGTGTTGGTGTCATCCTGGGGGGTCTTGAATGTCCTTGAAATGTGCCTCTAGGGCAGCTTAGAGTCACAGTAAATTACAATCCTCTCCTTTCATTTAATTCAATGTACATTCTCCGGCCTCCTGTATTATCTTAAATGGAACTGGAAGCGAGTTGCCTGCTGCATGCTTGGAGTAAGTGCCCTTTGGTAGAGGATGTGAAGACCGTGCACCCTGTTGGATCGTTCATCTGATGGACCATCTGTGTAAATTTTTACTAAATCAACTTCCAAAAAGGACTCAATTGTTTGAGTACCTTTTGCCTTGATAATAGCTTCAGTTTTTTTTTTTTTTTTTTTTTTTTTTTTTTTTTTTTTACAATGTTCCACCACATTGAGATTATTTTGGTTTGATGGGAATGAGAGAGAGTTAGGCCTTGAAGGACATGTGTGTTATGTTGAGAGCATAATATTTTGATGAAGTTTATTTCACAAGAAAAGGGGAATTATTCACATTTGCCTTCTATGAAGATTTTAAAACTCATATGCCTTTGAATGGATCCTTTACTTTCACCTGAGTTGATTAATGTGGGTTGTCATCATTTGTCATGGGATCCTGATATATAACTAAATTTATTTATTACTCATGCAGAGTGAAGTGTTTCACATAATACCCCATCCATTTGGAGGTTTTATAGAATATTTCATAACCCTGGGTGATGAGACGTACACTTAACTTGTCCACGTGACGGAATCTGTTTCAATTTATTTTGAGGTTTCTAATTGATTGGTTTACTGAACTTTTTATGATTTAGTTGTAAATAAAACACAACACAGTATTTGTGCAACATCGTCCTGTATTTGCATTCTGCCATTGAATATTTCAAGATGCAGTTTGTAACACAGAAGAAAGTAGCACATAGAAGCTGCCAAGAAAGTACTTGTGATGCATGTGAATAAAAATGTGTATTCATTGTGCTGTTCTTTTTTTCCGTGTGCATAAAAAAATAGTACAATATAGTAACACTCATTTTTTAATCCCTTCTTTAGCTACAATTTTCCATATAATACTAATCAGAAGTCAAACAACAAAAATCAGCGTAATTTGCAAAATTTCACAGGACTAGTTTCGATGGTTTTACCGAACCATCATCTTCGCTGCAAAACCGCAATGAACAAATAGGAAATAATGTTAGTAAGATAAGAAAGCCTGACAAGAATAAGCAAGTGGCGCATCTGTTGCGAAACCAGAACTAAAACATAATTTCTCTAAAAGCCGAAGGCAAATTTGGATTGGAATTAGGATCTTAACTAGAACAGAAAGATTTTTATGAATGTGAAATGCCTCTAGAAAATCCAGTTCTCCAAGGAAGATGTTTTTTGAATAATTTTGGCAGCAGAAAAATTGAAAGTGTGATTTTCGGACCAACAATGTTGAGCAACAGAAGACTTCTGTGTTTCCTTTTTTCTAAATATGCTCATGTTCTTGACGCGAAATTTTAAGGCTCTCTTTAGTTTGGCCAATGTAAATTAACCGCACTGGCAAGGAATCTTATAAATACCCCAGGAATTCATATCCGGAATGGGGTCCTTGAGTATAGAAGTTGGAATTTTATTGATGGGAGAGTAAAACCCGAAAGTTAACTTTCTGCAAATATGTGCAACTTTATAGCTAATTGATGGAAAGAAGGGAATGACAACAGAATTTTATAATCTCCTACAATAAGAGTGGGCTTTTGGTGTGTTGAGATGAGAATTTTTTTAAACTGCTGATTAATAATGTTGGGTGAAAAGCCCCTGTCAATAGCTATTGCTTTTAATAATTTAGTTCTTCATCAAGGGCTTTTGAGGAGCAAACTTGAAAGACGGAAAACATAGGAATAAATGAAGCTAACTTTTTGTTTAGTCGGATGACATGATTTAAAGTGTGGTGGAAGGCAACCGTAAGGTTTACGGTAAAACTGTAGTACTGAATGGATGTGTTACATGTGACCAGAATGTCGAGAAACGGAAAAAATGCAAGTCTCAAGTTCAAAAGTGAATGAATAGCAGGATCAATAGAATTCATTGTGAAAGAACTCTATTTAAATCATCTTTATACCTTCAAACGGGTAAAAGTATCGTCTACGAGCGGAACCATGCCGGGAAGTTAAAGTTTCAAACAATTTTGATTCATAATAATGCATGTAGATATCAGCCGGATGGGACTGAGGGGGCTTCCGAGGCTAATCCTCAGTTTGCTTGAAATTATTTTGGAAAACAAAATGTTTGTTTCAACAGAGTTGAGTGAGAGAAATTAGCTCATCAATTTCGTGCAAGAGAAATGAATTCACGAAGTCTGGTTCTAGACATCTTAGGCACCCTCCACTGGGACATTAGTGAATAATGATTTTACAAAAGAACCATGAGTAATTCGAGGAGAATGTTTTTAACCTTTTTTACAAACTCTATTGAATTTTTTATGGTGTAAATGTTATGTTAATAGAGTGGAAATCTAGAAACTAAAATTTAGCTAATGGATACGAGGCAGTACCTAATTTGATAAATAGGGCGGAAGGATACCACTTTTAAATTTGGGAAGAGCATATAATCTGGCACATTCGCACAGAGGGATAAGCGATGTTTTTAAGTTGCTTGAAATGATTTGCGAAGATTGATCGCAGTTTTATTTTGGATAAGTCCGAGGTGAAGGCTTTAGGGATAGGATTATATGTCCTTCGTTTAAGAGTTTAGTGACACCACGATGTAAGTGTTCTTATCCATGATGACTATCTGGCCACCTTTGTCGGCCTTTGAAACGACCATATCCGGGTTGAATGAATCTGCGCATTGTAGCTCTTCTCTCGCAGTTAGATTTGGTTTCAATGTTATTATTGAATTTCACATTATGGCGATAAGAGCGAATATTTCTTTCTGTGAATCTAAACTTTTGCACTTGAAAGCTTTTTCGATAGGAGCCAAATCTTTGGAATCGAGGGTTTACAGGTTTGTGAGAAGTTAATTAAATTTAGAATCTCTCTGTCTTCTGAAGACTACATTAGAAATATTAACTATTGGCTGATGTTTACAATGGGAAGATTTTTGAACTACTTGAACTGGAAGACTGTAAAAGAAGTTTTTCGAATTAACTGCAAGGGTGTTTTTATGACGGTTAACTGCATCTCAGTTCTAGCCACTTATTAGACAATAACATTTACACCATAAAAAATTCAATAGAGTTGTAAAAAGGTTAAAAACATTCTCCTCGTAATTTACTCATGGTTTCTTTTGATGTAAAATCATTTTCACTAATTCCCAGTGGAGGTGTGCATTAAGATGTCTAGAAACCAGACTTCGCGAATTTCATTTCTCTTGCACGAAATTGATGAGCTAATTTTCTCACTCAACTCTGTTTGAAACAAACACATTTTGTTTTCCAAAAAATTTACAAGCAACTGAGGGATTAGCCATGGAAGCCCTCAGTCCATCCTGGCTGATACTCTGCATTATTATGAATCAAAATTGTTTGAAACACTTTAAACTTCCCGGCATGGTTCCGCTACGTAGACGATACTTTTACCCGTTTGAAGGTAATAAAGATGATTTAAATAGAGTTTCTTTCAACAATGAATTCTATTGATCCTGCTATTCAGTTCACTTTTGAACTTGAGACTTGCAATTCTCTTCCGTTTCTCGACATTCTGGTCACACGTACACATCAACTTCAGTACTACAGTTTACGTAAACCTTCATCGGTTTGCCTTCCCCACACTTTAAATCTGTAATCCGACTAAAAAAAGTTAGCTGGCGTTCTGCTTTTGGATGACAATGCCGACCACATTCGGCGACGGCAACGCAAAACCATATGCAACTCTTTGTGGGAAGCGCCTACATACCGCCACAGTCCTGATCTCGCACCAAGCGACTTCCATCTGTTTCCGGCTTTGAAGAAAAATCTTGGGGGGAAAGGCACTTTGGAAGCAATACTGAATGAAACAAGCCGTTGAACGCTTCTTCCATATGCAAAGCCTGATTTTTCCTGGAGGGCTTGTTGAAGCTTATCAAGCTATGACAAATGTCTCAATGTACTTGGTACCTATGTGGAAAAATAAAGGTATGTCATATCTTTAATGTCTCTTTTTTTTGACTTTCATACACAACTCTGACCACAGTTGACAGGGAAACTTATTTTTCAATACCTATGTTATATAATGATAATAGTAGCAAAACTAGTATATTATTTTGAATTTATGTTTAATTAAAGCTATTATTTTAATAAATAATAAAATTTTTCAATTTTATTTGATATATTTAATAGATAACCATCAGCTTTGTAGTATTTTTTCTGCCAGTACAGAGTTGAGTTCAGTGTTTCCTTTGAAATACATTGAACATCATATCTATATACATATAGGAATAATTTTAAAATAAATTCAGTTTTGCCACATGTTTGAAACTTAGTGTGGCTTTATCTTTTGCATTTATTTTGAGATTAATCACTTTTAAAAAAGAATTATTGAATGATATATCACTTTTAGGTATCTGTTATATCTTAAAGTCTGTTTAGTTTCTCTTCGAAGTTTAATTCAACGGAAATTTTATCTACAAATCATTGGTTCTTAATACTTTTATAAGAACTACCGAGTGCGTCTAGACATAATACAGGTAAATTATAGTTATTCTATTTATGAAATTTTTTGAATTGTCCTTTTATTTCATTTTAACTATTTAAAATGGTAACTGCAGTAGAATTTGGATAATCCAAATGCCTGTAAACTTTGTTTTTTTTTTTTTTTTTCCAGAAAATTCATTACAGCAAATATAATGAAAAATTTTCGTATATGTGTATACAAATAAATTTTTTAATGAAAATACACAAAATTTATAACATAATTGATTAAAAAGACAATTTTATTTTATTATTTAAGTTATTCAGCATTTTGTGCATGTGTTTTAGCATTCTCTTTTTACAGTAAGTATTAGTCAGGAAGTTGTCAAACTTTTTTTGTAAGACAAAACCCTACTTTCTTGTACGAGGGCATTTCGAAAAGTAAAGATACAATGGCTCGCATTTCTTAAGAAAAACATTTATTTAGAAAATGTCTGTTACATCTTATTAACTGGATTATTTATTATTTTTCAACATAATCACCCCCATTATCCAAACATGTGTTACGTCGGTGCACAAGCTTTTGTATCCCACATTCATAGAAGGTTGCCGCCTGTTGGAACCCAGCAGTACAATTTCCTGTACCTTAACTTGACAGTCACAACTTCATAAAGAGTTGCATTGACACTTCCGGTATGATCTGATGCAATCTTCCAATTTGAGACGTATATTCGCACGAATTGCTTCCTCTGTTCTCTAAGAAGGGCATCAGAGATCACAGATGCCGACCTTTCTTGTTCGTCATGATCGGTCCTACCTTGAGAGAATGAAGACACCATTTCATTACATTTTGTTGATTCATAATGTTCCATAAACAGACAATTTCTTTGTGAATATCCGCTGGTCGCTGACCTTTTGCATGAAGAAACTATGACGGAGCGCACGTTCGCATTTGGGGGATTTGAATCACGCAGCCATTTAAACATACCTACTCCAACCAGAATCAACATTGAAATGCCGAACGACTGCGAGGAGAAAGCTAACGGTTCAAGGTTAACACCTGTGTTGCCAACTTGCTCACCAAAACTTTTCTTTTCCTCTGGCGTACGGTGTACCTTTACTTTTCAAAATGCCCTCGTATATCTGACTGCCTTTTAAAATTAGTTTTGAGTATATATGATTAACATGTATATAGAATTTATTTGTTTGTAACTTTTATAGCTTTTGAGTTCCAACTGAAATGTACCATGTATCTATTTTTATTATTTCATAGCAAGGATGCCTTTTACATTTCTAATAAATAGGTGTATAGTTTAAAAATAGTTATAGAATTTTTTTATTTTAAAAATGCAAAATATTGTTAAAAACAGTGTATTTATTTATTTATTTATTTTCTTGTTTCAGAGTGTTAAAATTGTTTTGAAAGTAATTTTGCTAGTGATTGTGCAATTTGTTAATATAAAATACTTCCGCTCTCTCTCTTTTTTTTGCAATAGAGTTCTTTACATCTTAAAGAAATTTTTTTAAACAATTATCTCTTTTCCTCTCCTTGGTTTGGTCTGTATTGATATTATTCTTTTTGTAATTATATTGAAAAATTTTAATAGCTTTATATTAAAAATTTTTTCATTAAATAATTCCCAAAGTTTATATTTCAGTTATGTATTCATATGAACACAATCCAAATATAAAAATTAAAAAAGGAAAACAAATTAAAAAAATATGACTCATAATCAGTGTTAGGCCCTTCATTAAATTTGTATCTAATTTGGGAGGTCCCTTTTCTGTTTATTTAGGGCTAGAAAGTATAATTTGGCATTGCATATGTCATTCTTTATAACTGGCATTAGAAGATGTGATAAAAATATTAACAAATTAAACCATTATGAAATATTTCTCTATAAATTACATCTTTTTATCAAGAATTAAATAAGATTGTTAAAAATCTGGATGTCAAAATATTAAAAATTAGCTGTATGTTTCTATCACAATAGGTGGTATGTAGTTTATGAAGAGCTTTTGCTATGTGGAGAAGCTGTTGAGCTTTATAAAAGTATTTTACATTAAGTGATAAATATGGGATTTTTTTTAAAGTGACTCTTAAATTTCAAATTTCTATACACTTGGTACTGATAATTTATATCCTATAAGAATTATCATGTCTGATATTTTGTGATTTTTTTTAAATTGTAATTTTTTGTAAAATTTATTAAAATAAATTAAAAACAAGGCCAAAAGTAAAAAAAATAAGTTTTCTTTTAAATTTTTTTTTAAAATTTTTATTTATTTTTTTTAATCAGATAATTTAGAAGCCCTTTTCTAAACTTTTATAGCTCACCATTGCCTAAAAATCATAAAATTCTCTAATCTGCCCAGCCCTTAGTCCCAAGGTTTATTTAAGTTTATTTATTCTAGTTTATTGTAAGTCTTTAAAGTATCAAAATAAGTTAACGTTAGCAATGTAATATAAGTGTATTCTTTCTTCCTTGTTTTTTTACCTAAACAAAATCAAAGATCAGTAAAGGAATAAGATGGAAATATTTTTTAATGTAAGTAGCAAAATGAAAGAAAGCATTTACCTGCATTAGTGAAATCGTCCACAAATAAATTTTATGCTACAGGAATAGCTCCAGAGCAAGCAGTAGCTTGAAGTGTATTTTATGTCAGCATTTAGCTGTAGTGCTGTATTCATTCATTATTGGAGGTGCTAAGGCAACAAGAATCAGTGCGTTATTCATAAATTTACAAGACTAATTTAGCACTTCTATAGTCAAAGAAGGTTCTACATTTAAACCTATTTAAAACTTTGAAATTAGCTATGCAAATTTATGAATATTACATTGGTTCTTGCTGCTAGTACCTCCAATGATCATTATTTTAACTTAATTAATTCTTTAATTAATTTTAGTTATTATAATATGTTTTGAAGCATATCTTGTGTCTGTTTTTTTAATTTGCCTCAAAACTTATGTATCTTTTTTCATAATAATTTTACATTAACTTTTCATAACTTTGATGGGCTATTTCTGATTCTCTTGCACTCCCCACTCCTAGCAGGTGTCAAAATGTATTGAGGTAGCACACCATATCACCAACAGATATTTATGTGGCAATGCACCATATTATCAGAAAATGTTTTAAGTGGCTACCAGGATTCCTGCAACTAGATGCTGTGCAATGGAACATGCTTAAAGGAACCACATGCCTCTTTTTACCTACTCATTTTAAGATTTTGATACTGAAATTGTGCAAGCTGCCAAGTTTGTGAAATTCTGTTTATTATAGTGAAAAGAGGTTACTGTGTACATGGGGAGAACAACAGTGTGAAAAACCAAGAAATATGCTTGAATAAAAGTGCTGTATGAAAGAGAATAAAAATAATAATAATAATAAGTGGCACTGGATGTGTCGTTGAAATAGACTTGAAGATACCCATGCATACATTTGTATCCAAAACCACCAATGAGTTTGCAAGTTTTGAGAGGATGTAGCTAATAAGAAAGTACCTTTTGATATTTATAATCTTGAAAAGGAGTCCGCCCTCCCTCTTAAAAGACTGTAATTTAATGTGAACGTTATGAAAAGTACTCTTAAAGTGTTCCTGTAGTAGAAATGTGATAGTCGCATGTTTTTTAAAAAAGTACATGTATTTCAACCTGAACATTTATTTTATTTTTATTTATTTAGTTAGTTTTTATGCATTAATGTGGGTTTTATACTAAAAATGGTGTTAAGATTATATCTTCAATTAGCATCAATTATAATGAAAAGAATTAAGTTTGATAAAAGTTACAGATTCAAAATAATAATAATAATAATAATTAGAATTTCCATTTAGGAAGAACTTTATAGTCACATTGTCTTTGTCTGCATGTATTTACTAATATCTTTTCTCCTACCTCCTAAGCTTGTTCTCCAAGGTATGAAAACCTATCCAAAAGTATTAGGCATTCAGATGGCAGCAACAGCTTGTTTATATAATTTGACCAAATTTGGATTAAGTTCAATGATTCACACCAGCATGCTAAAACAAATAGTAGATTATACACTTGTAGCAATGGAGAATTTTCCAAAGCAGCAACAAGTAAGTTACCTTTATATTTAAAACTTTGTGTTGTGTAATATTCTTCAGTTCACTTCCCCTTTAGTCTAATCCTAGATGAGAAAATCATAAGAAGTCAGTTGTGGGTTTTATTTATACCAGGTCTGTGAGTTTATATGTATGAGTATCTAGCTAACCACGCATGTTATTTGTAACATTCACGAATCTAGAGCAATCCAAACTTTTTAAAAGGATGTATATAAGTGGCTGCTTGATCATTTACCAGGTTGATGGATTGGCAAACATGGTGCACAAGAATGCCCTGCCTACAGGCAATTTTCAGGTGGGTTGAGCCCAGAAGGATATATATTGATGAATATCACATCATGGATAGTGGAAGCAGCTATATCCATGTGCTTTTAAATTTTCCATATTAAGGATGGGTGGGGATGCATGGGCATTTTTCACGGCTTTTCCCACGTGCAATGTTTATGCAAGCCAGTTTCTCTTAGAATGTCCTTCGTGAAGATATTCCTTCCATTAGGCAGATAACCCTCGAGTGCTTTGCTGCAGTTAAATAAACCAAACCAATCTTATTCTATCATCATGTTCTTAAAAAAAAAAAAAAAAATTGTTCTTATTTCAAACAGACTTTATCCTCTTCATTCCCAACATATCATATATGATATCCTGAAACTTCAGTTTTCCTCGAAGTGTGTTCTATAACAAAGTTGATACAGGAACAAAGTGTCACTGCTGGTACATCATATCATATTTGATATGCTGAAACAGAACATTTTATTTCAAGCTGTAAATGTGCATAAAAAATGTAAAAAAGTGGTGAAGCATTGTTGATTGGAACCTCTTTTGAGTATTATCCTTATTGTTATGAATATAATTTATTCTATGAATCTAAAATGAGTGATTCTTGCAACGCACATTCAGAATTTAGAAACATTTCATGCAGTGCAAGCAACTTAAAATTTTGTGTGTAAATATAGCAGTAGGAAATAAAAGGTACTGTTATTTAAATTCGAAAGTTTTTTACTTTATCATACAAAAATAATTTAAATATGTAATTATAATTATTTTTACTAATATTATTCAGAATTTTTATTTTAATTCTATGTATTAGAATTTTTAATTTATATTATAAGCAATTATTTTTATCAACAAATGCAAGAGTCCATATATATCAATAAAAAGCAGATGTTATAGGAATTATGTTTGTATGTTGGGCTCAGTTAAAAAACACACTCATGCACACAGTGATGTTCAGTGATCCAAGGCACACAGGGAAATTCTATTTTCAAAATGTTGTGACTAAAGAGGTTAAAAAGTTAGGAGCACATTTTCCATTAAATTCATTTTTACAAATTTAATGTATCAAATTTTTTAAATCTAATTCTGAAAATTTCATGAAATTCAAATACTAATGCATTTGAATTTTGCGGGACTATCCAGTCACTTGTGTTCAGTTAGCTTAGAGTAACTGGATAGTTTTGCCCTTTGTCATGTGCATCACAGCATTTGTGATTTCAAAATCTGCTTTGATTTTTCATCTTCATTTAATAAAATCATCATTCTTGTGTGTGTCACATTTGCTCAAAACTTAAATAGTCTATTAGAAATTACATATAAAATTCTTCTTTTTCTTCTTATTATTAAAACTGTACATTATTGATAGCATTTCTATATTATTTCCATTTGTTATGTTTAAAAAACAAAAAAGAGAGAGAGAAAAGAAAAGGGAAAAAGGAAGAAAAATAGAGAACTCTTTTATTTTTAGAAGTACTCCTTAAGGCTTTCTGCATTATTATTTTATCTGCAGTCTTCTAAAACTGTCTCCTGAATGGCCATTTTTAAGACTTTTATTATACCTTCATATGTCAGCAGTTTTATATACAATGTGTTGAAGGTAGAAACATGAATTAAACCATCAGTCTTTATGTTATTAGAGCTTCATTAATTTAGTGATTGCTTATTGCACACTGTTGTATTTTGGTCATCTGTTTTGTAAAAGTAGAAAAGTGACTTATTAGACACCTTCTAGATTCTCAGTCTTATTTGATTGCATTTATTACCCTTAATCATTAATGATAACATTTCATTGTAATCTGAGTTTCTGCTCACATTAACAAGCCAATTAGTAAAAAAAATGGCATTTAGTACATGAAACTCAAGATCACAAATATTTTAATATATATACTTGGATTCATTTACATTATTGAATCCATAAGGGCTATGTACCTGATGGGAGAGATACCTTCATAGAGAACGTTCTGAGGGAAAATGACTCATTCATTTTACATGTGGGAAGAATCATGAAAACTAATCATGCAGCCTGCCATTTGCCTGACTGAATAAGGCTAAACCAGGGTTCGTAGCGGCCCTTACAAGTGCTTATAAGTCCTTATATTTGAAAATAAAATATAAAGGCCCTTAGAGGTGCTTACTTTTTCTTTAAAGCCCTTATTTTTTTTTGTTTTTAGTACTTTTTTTTTTTTAATGACCGCGCATTTTTCCCCCGTACCAAAGCCGAAACTAAATAAACAACTTTTCTTCCTTATATGCAACGTCAGATGATGAATCATACCCCTGGAAATTGCTTTCCCCCCCGTTCTCTGCATTAACGTAACCTATGGTGCGCGCGAGAGTACAAACAGGTGCACGTTGTTCTGTTGCTCAGAGAATTGCGAAAACGGTAGAAAATCCCGGTACATTCGGTATTCTTTTCCTCCCACCCAAATACTACACACGTTTGAATTTCTATCAAGATTTTAATAATTTGCATTCTCGTTCCGCGTGGTCAGTTCATATTTGTGTTTATTATGATCGTTATGCTTAAATTATGAGCATATGAATGAATATTTATGATAATATAGTTGCAGTAACTGCTGAAATATAGATAAACTTTCAAAAATGGGTGAGTTTTTACACAGATTAGCTTTCTAAGGAATAATATTCGGAATGGCTTAAATAAAAGGAAAGTAACCGAATAATCAATCCCCCCCCAATACATTATACAGTACGGAGGTTGGGAGGTTCTCCCCTTTCCCTGCAAAATCTCTAACATTGAAGCAGCGGACCTTTTTTTTTTTTTTTTTTTTTTTTTGTCACTGTCCAATCTGGATTGAATAGGACTAAAAATTTTTGCGGTCTACACAACCTAAGCGAAGATTGATTCTATTTCGGAAATTTAACGCAGTCTGTTGAAAATTAGAATCAGAAACACCCCAGATTAGTAAGTCTCTTTCTTTTCCTTTATTTAGTTCTTTATTCTCCGAATACCGGCAGCTGTTGATTCCGATTGCGTAATATCATTTATGGAAGAATTACGTCGCACCTATTGCGCAATAACGTTTCCGGTATTTCGCAGAGATAATTAATTTTGATGTTCAGTCCGAGATTTGTTTATGAACACTTAAAAGAGTTTTACTGTGCTTTCTAAGCAGAATATTTCTCAGTTCCGTTGTCTATTTTTACATGATGCACATATTGAAATGTCAAAATCCGAGAAATCTAAAGAACGGCTACAATCTCCCCCACTCCTCTTTTTCCAACTACTTACCGGAATATTCAGCAGTTTCCAAGTATGCGGGTTAGTTGAGCTTTTACTGTTAAAGGATGACTACGTGAAGCAATTTCCCGTATTCTGATTTCAGAAATGTGCCTCTTTTTTACTTAAATTACTTTGCTTGGAATATATGTTAAGGGAAAACTGTTATGCAATGAAAATTTATAAAATATTCAGATTTTTGATTTAAGTTAAATTATTTAAATATTAATATGAGTGGAAAAATAAATTGTATTTATTATTAGGTGCCAAACGAATACAATTAATATGGATTTTTATTATTTATTTTTAAGAACCCTGTAAACAATATTCATCACTGATGGGTCCTGGTTCTATGTCTATTATAAGCTTAATTAGATTGCTAGTGGCAAACCATTCTAATAAGAAATTGGGTTATCTTTTGCAGTCAGTTAAGAAAAATACAAGCACTAGATATTACATTAGAGCCTTATTTAACCATTCGGTCACAGTAATAGTATATAGTATTCATCTTCCTATTGTAACAGGTATAAGGCAAAATTGTATTCCTGGTCGTTTGTGTTAGAGAAATATCTTTTGAAAATATTCAGCTATATGGCAATGATTTTACTTTGGATACTTGTTTTTGTATAACTCTAAAGTCAACAACAACAATATTATAAACATAAAGCTATCATACCATCTCATTTGATAAAAATATCGTTTCTTAAAAGTTGTTCATTTTCATAACATGAATAAAAATTATCTGTGATATTGTAATTATCTTTGAAGCGAAGCTGATTTTGTGTGTTAGAAATGGAAAAATTCTAAATACACTCAAAAGTCTTTAATCCGGACTCGTCGGGACTTTGGCGATTCCGGATTATAGATCATCAGTTTAAATCTGGTAAGATGGCATGCAGAAATTATAAAATTAAAAATATGAAACTGTAATTTATGAAATAACTAGGTGTACCCGCCCGGCGTTGCCCGTGCATTTAGAAAATGCAGATAAGTGAATAGCGCAGGAATAGTAGTGTAGGACATGTAGACTGTCTCTCTCTCTTCCCCCCCCCACAAGCTACAAAAAAGAAATGAATTGTAATTAATCGATTTAATGTATCGTCAAAACAGCAAACTAACGCTAGAATAAAGAAAATCAATTGTTACAATCGAACGTTATTTGAAAACAAATAATAATATCAGTGAGTCAAAAAAAACCGTGATTAATTAATTATAAATAATTTTTTTTAAATTTTTCTAATTCAAAAATCGAAAATCGGGCTTCGAGGTCTGGTGGCCAGCCCCTTTGTGCTTCCGTATAAAAAATTCCAGGTCCCTGCGTGCGATAGATTTGGCTGGAGAGCTCGGTCAGACAGACAGACAGACACATTACACTTGCTTTTATTATTATAGAAGAGCAATTATCATCTAAAGGGTATCAAAATTTACAAAAAAAAAAAAAAAAAAAAAAAAAAAAAAAAAAAAAAACTTTATATTTCTTGTTTTATTAAACATTTCTTTCAACGCGTGCAGACGTAAAGCATACATTGCGCCAAGTCGAAATTAGAAAATTGCAACCAGAAAACTATTTGATGTGTATTCGTGATATTTATAAGGATGAGGAATTTGATTTAAATCATATCAGAGACAGAGTACATCGAGGTGAAATACTACATTTAGTAAGGAGCAGCGTGAAATTGATAAACATATTTCGGAATGATTAGAGAATCAAAGGATATGCCTTTATCCATTTTTTGCAGCAATTCCACTTTTTGTTTGATGGACATCGAAACATGCTTTCGCTTTGTAGATAGATCCTTTGGCAACTCCAGAATCGGAAATTCTATTTGACATAATTGAAAGTTGAAGCTTCCTTTTATAAAATTGCTCTAACAGTCTGCAAAAAATAATAAGCCGGATCCAATTCGAAGATTAAGGAATAATGCAATCTGCAACATTAACTGAAATAGATAATTAGATAACTTTAGCTTAGCTTATACCATCCGTTATACATTAAACGCGTATGCGTAAACGTATTATGTGCATGTTTAAAGGTATTACGCGCATGCGTGAATGCATTATTCGTTGACGCATGCACAGAAAGTTTGTAGCTTTGAGTTCCAGATTATGGGTGTCCGGAGTAACGACTTTTGACTGTATATAATATTTCAAGTGGCTTCTCTTATTACTTTTAGGAAAACTTATTTTAGCTTTTATTTATGCATTTTTTAAATTGCATAATTATTCTTTTATGACTGCATTCATAATTTTTTATAATTATTTATTTTAATACCAACCAAAAAAAGGGGGGGAAGCCACTTGTTCCAAAATTTTTGGAGGCTTTTTTTTTCATATAATTTATTAATTTTTATAGCTACAGAAGAACACCTTGCTTACTCTTTGCAGTGACAGAATGTTGGTGGATGTTGTAAGTAAATTCTTGGACCTATCTTTAGTGGAATAAATGCCATTGTTTTTTTTTTTTTTTTTTTTTTTTTTTTCAGAAAAGTCTTTTTAAAACTAAAGTTATTTGTTAGACTATTTAATTGATTCTGAACTTGCAAATAGCTAATTGTACTGGTTTTTAAAGTGATCTTTAAGGAAAACCATATGTGAAACTACATAAGCTGATTGAAAATTTTGAGACATTTATTCAAAACCTTATGATTCTGTTGGCTCTGTATTTTTATTTTCTTTGTCTGTGTCCTCCCCTTCCCTAAATTGGAGCCTTTCATATTGAGTTATACATTTTAACCCTTTGATGTGCGGTGGTCCCGCCTTGAAACCACCAATTTTCGAATTTTTTTCTCCTCTTCCTTCGGAAATTTTTGAATGAAAATCAATTGATTACTGATCTCTTACCTCTAAATAACACAAAATGACTACAGAATCATACATGTTTTAAGTCTTAGTATTTCAAATTGGATGCCTTTTAAAATTCGTTTTCAATGAGATAAAATAACTTCCTTTTATTAATATAAACAACTTTATATTTTAAAAGTTATTCATCGCACATCATGATTTCTATCATAAACAATAAAAAATAGCAATAATTAAACTGCATATATAAAAAACCCTCTATATGTATGGCATTTGCTTTGTGGTTTCAGGGCGCGACCATTGTCCTACTAGAGCATTGTGTCACAATGCTCTAGAGGCTTAGTGGTCGTGCCTTGAAACCACTGCTCTTCACAATGGTGCTTCTCAATGGAGTTCACTTGCTTTCTCAAATAGGAATGTTTATTTTTACCCGGATATAGATAAGGGGTTTTGAAATCACAGAGTTATTTTATTACTAAACAATACATGCACCTGCCTAGTAAAAAGGTCTTTCTTTTCCAGAGACTTTTCTCTGACCTCAACACACTTGCTCCCCAAACTAGTATTGTGCTTTTATAAATTATTTCCTGTGGTTTAAATTTAATGTAAATATACTTTGCTGTAATTAAAAATAGAAATCACATAAAGTTTTATTTAAATTAAAAATATTTTCTGAATATTTTGAGACGAAATACGAATAAAATAAGTATGAATGGGAAATGAATGATCCGTACCAAAGCCAGAAAGACCAAGCCCCCCCCCCCCCCATTAACATAAAGAAACCACAAATTTCATGTGCGAGATGAAAAGAAACTAAATAACGCTAGACACATACCAGTGAAATTTAGATCCATCCAATGTAAATTTTATAGCACAAAGAAGAAACATCGTAGAAGAAGATACCTGTGCGAAACGTGCAATGTGGGTCTATGCATGTACCAAAAAGACAAAACATGCATTGAATAGTGTCACAAAAAATATTTGTTCTTGGAAATTAAAATAATGTATCCTTATTTTACTGAGTTTTCTAATCTATGTAGCCAAGCGTCCTTATTATGTAGGTACTTTCACTGCTAGAAAATTACATAAATGTTTATTTTTTAATTTTTTCTGACTATTTAGTTTGTAAAATAATGTAAAAATATATATAATAATAATGTAAAAAATGTAAAAAAATATTATTATATATAAAATATATCATAATGTAAAAAATATATAAAATATATATTGCAATTATTACAAGCTTTTTTTTTTTTTTTTTTTTTCTTCCATTCGTAAATTTCGTCATTTATTGGAAACGCGCACAGAAAAAGGTAAGTTTTTTTTTTCCCTACTACCTAGGTAAGTTTCAAAGTCCTAGACGCGCGATGGTTTCACAGTGCGACCACCACCCACAAAACAATGGGCAAGAGTAGTTTTTTTTTTTTTTTTTTAATTTATATATTATTTGTCTCTAGGATCATAATATTCAATTTCTAGAGTTTTTAGTTAAAAAAATTATAAAAATACTATTTCGCTCATCAAAGGGTTAAAGTATGTTAGAAATCATTCAAGAACATGAAGTTGATCATTGATAACATCCTGTTTCTAGTATAGCCATGCCATTTTTTACTTCTGAAAAGAAACTCTTCCTGCATAGTTGCTTTTTCAGTATTGAGGATGCCCATAAATCATATATTAATTAAGTGTGGACCAAATACAGTGTGTTTTAATATTGGAAGATAAATTATCTATCAATGTCACTGCCACAACATACAACTAGACATTTTCTAGAACAAAACCATTGTTTCTTGAGCAAATCTGGTCTTATCTTCTTCTGACTCCATGCAAATGGTTAAACAACATACTGAATATTTCTACTCTTCTGCTCAAACTTGCTATGCAAATGCAAGTTCAAATGTGCCGATATATAATCCTCACAAAATCCATAATAGAACTGCTGCATCTAATATTTGGAAAGGGAAACAGAAACAGACTTAGAATTTTTCAGTCAGCGATTTTATTAACAGCAAAATTTCAATAAAATTTGGCAAGTTTTTTTCATAATATTGCTTGAAATTTTATTATCAATGTATGAAAGTGTCATAGCTTATTCTTAGATTTTATATATTTTATTATTAACTAATTATGAAAAGTTTTTTGTTTTATCAGTCATTTTTATTTTAAATTTTATTTTCAGTCCTTCGACAGATACCATTGTGCAGAGCTAGTTATGAATTCTTTAATGGCCTTTGATGATCCAGCCATGAATCGGATGTCAGTTGCTATATGTTCAATTTTAGCTGCTAGGGTAAATATGATATTTAATTTTTATGGCTTTTGTAATTGTTTAAGGCTGGTTTGCATTTATAATGCAGATCTTTTAAGTAATGGAAGATATCTGATTTTTAAGTAATGGAAGATATCTGATAAGCATTTTTGGTTATTTTGAAACCTTTTTTTTTTTTTTTTAATAATTGTAGATTTCGACTGTTGAAACTTCAAATTTAGGTGAGAAATCTGCATATATGATTCGATTATTAGATATTGTGAAATCTAAAGCTGATCATGGAGAAATAGATATCATGATGAAGTTCACTTTGAGTGCATTATGGAATTTAACAGGTTAGAAAATGTGATTTTTATTTTATTTTTAATCAGTATTAGATTTAATATATGCATTATAAAGAATGCTGTAACTTGTATATGTAGTAAACCCTCTTTGGGGTTCTGGGTGCATTTCTAGAAAATAGTGCTCTAAATGAAATAAGGTTTAAATCTGACTGTTTTGACATTATAAGTAGTAGTATAGCAGTAGCCATACTTGACCAGGATAAGCAGATTTTATTGTAATATTGCTTTATTTTTTAATGCAATGCTGTGTAGTCTAGGTAAATATGTTTATTTATCAGTAAAAGCCCTGAGGATTAAAATTTGCATAAAATCATAAAATTAATTTATTTTATTTTATTTTTATTTATTTATTTGTTACATTAATCACAAAACAATATAATCACTAAATTCACCAGTTTTAAGGTATTTTCTTCTTCCATATCATTTGCCATTGTTGTGTAACTGGTAAATACATCTGGTTGGACACTCAGAGCTCTGTAGTGAGCGTATAGCCCATTTTTCATGTTTCCTCCATCAAGAAACTTAAATGACTCTACAAAGTAGTATAGCAGAGCTGGGCATACTTCAGGAGCTGTATATCTGAGTTCAAAAGTCTTCACTATGTTTTACAAAGCCGCAAGTCTATATTTACATCATTTTTAAAATAATGAAATACCTTTTGAATAGAAAGAAATTTAGATTTGACAAAATTTAATATTCCACAGAGCTTTAGTTTTATCCACCATAAATTAAAAATTGTACTAAATATTCATAATATAGTTCAGTAAGATTTTATTCATATCATCAGCTATTATAATGCCAGTGTACATAGGTAATTTTAAAAGTAATGTACATGGTAGCAATATTGCAAGGAGAAGGATACACTCTGAATGATATATGCACCCGCAAAATACACTTCACACTGAAAATTCAGATTAGAACATTAAAAACAAAATTTCATAAGCTAAGTGTAACTGAATGACAGTTGCTAATTGTATAATATATTAAAGAAGATTCAGTTTAAGTCTTTGTACATGTCCATGTTGTATGTCAGATACTGATATTGGAAATATTATTATTCTAGAATCTACTTCACTTCAAAACTTATAGGGAAATTATCTTCCTGTGCTTAATATCAATTAGTAATCTTAGAAACTTTCAAGTATGAACTGCACACACAAAAAAGAGATTATAGTGTAATTAAATCTGGCAGTTTACAAAAATTTCATATTAGTTGAAAAACAAAGAATTCTATGCCTTTGTACATAATGTACATATAATGTTTTTTCCGTTTGTGTTTTCATTTTGCTTTCTATTATCTAATAATCTCATCTTTTCTGATATATGTTGGGTTCCAGATTTGATAGTGTCAACATGGATCTTACAATCAGTTTTGATATATGCATTCTACAAAATGATATATTTTGGTATAATGATAAGTTTCAGCAGATGTATTCTGTTTTTGTATTCCCTATAAAAAATCCAAAATTAATCTCTAACTCTTAATGGTGTATCCGATTGTATAAGTTTTTACTATATGCAGCCAAAGGTTAGATGTAAAAGTAAGTGCCCATTTGAGTTCTACAGACCTCAGCATTTTGAAGTGATGAGCGGGGCTGTTCCTTGGCCATTGGTTTTCCGCGTACTTTCCTAGGATTTCTGCCCCAAAATTTAAAAAAAAAAAAAAAAAAATCCTCAATGATTAATAAAATCTTAATTTCCTATTCAATAAGCACAAATATGACTATTTGTATAAAAATTACTTACATATGACAAGTACTTATAATGAATTTAAAATATTTAGGTGTGGTATTGTGATAGTTCAGCTGCCCCTGATTTTGGCCGCCCAAGTACTTATAAGCACTGCACCCCCGCTAGGAACGGCCCTGGTAATGAGTTTATGAAATAGACATTGGGATAATTGGATATTGAGGTAATAGGAAATCAAACATTATACATCAAAATTGAAAGTTTAGATGCCAAAAGTTCAACGGAATGTCACTGTACGTTTCATCGTTATTATCTTTGGGCTACTCTTCTCCTTGAAAAAAGTGTCAAGTGTGCAAGGAGGCCAGAAACATCAACAGATGAAAGAAATATACAGTGTTCATATGGTCCTTGAAAGTCCATTTTTGGAATCGATTTTTTGGTCCTTAGAAGTCCTTAATTTCGGCTAAAATCGACAGAAGGTCCTTAATTTTAATTATCTGAAATTTTTGTTTTGTTTTTACGATTGCTGTTTTGAGTGTGAATTATTTATTATGGAGGAATATTTTTGATAATTCACTGACAAATATGAATCTTTTGAATAGGTTCATGGGTTATAATTTGTTTCTATTTCTAATGTATAGGGTGGGATACTGGAGTTTTTGAGCAAGAAGTCAAACATAAACATTTCAAAATTATTTAATTTTTTTCTAATGAAAAGCATTTAAACAACTTTCTGCTTTTAGAGATGTGAATTCTTTTATTAAACGGCTCTAAATTTGGCGACTTATTAATATTTTGGCTATTTTAAGATTAATTTCTAAAGAAAGTTTTTAATTCGGAGATCTGGGAATTGTTTTTTTTTTTTTTTTTTTTTTTTTTTTTTTTTTTTTTTTTTGAAACATTATAACATTGATAAATTTAACTAAAATACTGGCAATAAATTTAAATTACATTTAAGGAATAACATCAAAATAAAACATTTTTATTTTCTTTTGCTGTTATATTATAAAGTGGCATTAATTTCCATTTTGGCCACTCATTATACAGTCAAAAGTCTTTAATCCGGACTCGTCAGGACTTCGGCGATTCCGGATTATTGATTTTTATGGATTATAGATCATCAGTTTAAATCTGGTAAGATGGCATGCAGAAATTATAAAATTAATATTTATAATTTCCGCAATTTATGAAATAAAGAACAATTATGATCTAAAGCAGGGATGGGCAAACTTTTTCGATCGCGGGCCAAAAATCGAAAAATAAAGTTTGGCGGGCCAAGATGAATTTTTCTAAAATTTTAAAGACAATATACAAGTATTACAATTTAATATATTAATGAGATGAATGAAATTGCGATTTCATTTTTAAAAGTTCCTTATATTGAGGTTCGAAGTGAGATGTACTGATTCTAAGGAACGAGGCTTAATGCTCATCTGTCAGTCTACTTCTGAAATAATTCTTTCTAAGGTTCATAGTTGAAAACACTTGTTGACATATATAAGATGAAGCAAACATAGCACTGATTTTCTGGGCATGAGATATTAAATTTGGGAAACTTACTTTCGATAATGATTTGTAAAACTCTAACTTTGGCATATTTAGAAACAATTGCTTGAGATGATTGTTAGATTGCAACTCAATTAATTCAAGCTGCAAATCTGATATCACTGCTTCACAATTTACGTTGAATGGCATGGTAAAAATATCCAATTCTGCTTGAATGGCACTGAAATCTTGAAATCTGCGTTCGAACTCAAAATGCAGTTTTTTCAAGCTATCTTCATAATTCTTAAGGTTCTCTTCATTTACTGAGGGTATTGAATTTAACCTCGGGAAATGAGATAAGTCGTTCTTACCTAGCTGCCCAGCAAACTTATTAAGTTTTAGTTTAAAAGCTTTGAGATGTGACCAAATATCGTCGATAAATTGAATTTTCCCTTGCATCTTGACATTCAAGTTGTTCATATGACAAAGAAGATCTGTGAAAAATGCAAAGTCTGAAAGCCATTTTGTATCTTCTAACATTTCACACTCCGCAGAACACTGTTTCTCATAGAAGAACGACACAATGTCATCTTTCAGCTGCCAAACCCGCTCGAAAACACATCCTGCACTAAGCCACCTTACTTTCGTGTAATACAGTACATCAGAGTATTCAGATTGCACTGACTGAAGAAAATCTTGAAATCTTAAACAATCTTAAACAATGTAAGTTGTTTAAGTTGCCTGTGAGTAAGCCCACGAGATTGAATAGTATTTACAAGCTTCACGACTGTATCAAGCACAGGTTTCATATTCAATGCAGATTTACACAGAGCATCTTGATGTAAAACACAATATAGAAAAACAACATTGTTCCCGGGATAGTTCTGATTAAAGCTAGTCCAAGAAATCCAGATTTTTTTCCTGTCATATTTGGTGCTTCCATCAGTTCGTAATATTGCATATATTTGTTACTAGGCACTTTCAAAGTTAAAAGCCCTTCCTGAAATTCAACGAAAAAGTATCACATCCCGTTGTAGTTCCCTTTCAAAGAACGCATGCAAGCCACTTCCTCAATAATTTCAAAAGTTCTCATCAACACCTCTTATAAATAATACTAATTGAGCAGTATCATTTATATCAGTGCTTTCATCCATAGCTATGGAAGCAAAATTTCAACTGGCCAATCTTTGACTCTAATTGTGATGTACCAAATTTTTATCGATGGCTTCCATTCTAGATAGTCACCGTTTTTCGAGAAAAGCTTACAGTTCTCAAAATTATTTTTCTTGCGTGGACATAAAGCATCACAAATTTGGAGCACGCATTGTTTAATGAACTCCCCATCACTGAAAAGCTTTATTATTTTTAGCAATATTATATGCTACAATGTAACTTGCAGGTGTAGCTGCTTCTTGGAATACTGTTTACCTTCTTGAAAAACTTTTGTCGGCCTGCTAATTTTTTACAAAGACTTTCTGCATTTTGTTTTTTTCTTCTCATATTCGACATTACTTGGTAAATGGAATTCTTATGCAATTAGATGTGAAATGACAGGAAATGTTATATTCTTTGAAGACTGCTACAGCTTCATTGCAGATAAGACACACTGGTTTATCTTTATCTTTAACAACTGAAAAAAAATATTTCCATGTCCATTCATCATTAAAAGCGTGGCATTCTGAATCAACTTTATGTTTTTTAGTAGCCATTTTGGGGTTGAAATTTTACGATAACCCAAACAAGCACTAGCTATGCTATACTTTTAATAATTTCATTCACCACTATTCACAATGAGGCTATATGTCCGCAATTTTTCA